TGCTTGCTAAATATATAAAGGAGTCCAGTGTAGAAGAACCACTTTGACCTTTATAAAAACCATTATTTATATAGTAGTCTCTTCTGCTTTCTCCAATAAGTTTTCTGTTTTTGTTGGTGTGAAATTTGGTACAAGTGATCATCAAGCCAGCCTGTTTTTGTTAATCTTAAGGTTTTTAATATTTAACCATATATTAGCATATCATAAGGCATGATATGTTTTAGGTTATATATTACTAAATTTTTAGTAATATGCTTTATATTACTTAAGTTTTGTATAGAAGTTTTAAGAACTTAGTTTAAAATTCTATAGTCTATATGTCTTTAATTTCTATCTTCTATTTCTCTAATATAGGATATGATATCTGCATTGCAATTTTCATTCATTAGTTTATATTCTAACAGGTTAGATTGAAATCTTTCTTTTTTAGCTAATTAGTATCTAGAATTAAGCTTTTATAATATTTGTTAGTATGTTGTTAATACTATGTTATGAATTTTATAGTAATGCTTGCTATTTTCTAATTAGATAACAAGTCTTGTTTGTTTGTTGTTGTTTGTTATTGCTACAGTTATCATATGTTTTGTTTTCTGTTTTTTCAGAATAATATCAATTTTCTAAAAATTTTACTTTTCTTGTCGAAAATATTGCTGTTTTTTGTTAATATCTTAGTACAGCTTTTTTTGTCTTCTAAACTTTGTTATATTATATATTTTCTTCTGATACAGCTTTTTTGTTAGTTGTCTAAAGAGTGTTTGTTAGTCTGTTTTGCTATTATTCTTGTAATTTGTTTTTTCTTGTTTTGGAATCGAAAATTGGCAGAGAGAGTTTAAAATTTTTTTTATAATCAAATTATTTGACTATATTAAAGATTCTTTTAATTTTGGTTAAATTAATTTTTTATTATAAATTATTTTTATATTTTTATTTTTTTTATTATTTTAGTTTTAATTATTATTAAAATATTTTTCTAACTAAATTTTTTTTATAAATTTTAATTAAAATTTATTTATATAATTTATTAATTATTTTTTTAAATAAGTGTTCTACAAGTTGGATTTAAAAATGTTAATACTATTTATATTAGAAAATATAAAAATATTAGTAGTCTTAGTTTTAAGAACTTATATATGTAATATTTCTATAACTAATTTTTTATAATACTACTATTATGTATAATGTTTGCACTTTATAATTGGAATTTTTTTTTTTTTTAGTATTAAGATGACCTCTTTGGTCTTTTAACTTTTATTAATCACTTATTAGTATTGTAGTTTAATGAACCACTACAGAAGAGCATACAATTGGTTACATATATAACTTTTCTATATTACCTATTTAAGAAGTTCACCTAAAGGTTTCTTACCAATTGCTATATTTAATACTCTTGCTTGGATGTTCCACTTTAAACCCTCTGAACCTGTAATCTGTATTAATATTACTGGATCATACCCAGATGCCCAGATCATCGTTTCAAGCTTAGGACTAATTTATCCTTAAGGTAAACCCTTCAGAGCCTTCTGTATTTATTTTTACAACTAACTTAGATATTGCTATAGCAGAACCAACACTTGTGGTTAGAGCTAACTATTAAATTGCTATGCCCTTATAGAGTTCACTTAGATCCTAGCATCTATTTCACAGCATAACTCCAGTACTTTAGTATACTTCTGCTTTTTTACCTACTTTTTTACCAAACTTCTAATCCATATAGCCTATATAGGACTACAATCAGTCTATCGATATATCAGGTTGGCCTAATATTTTTTTTTTTTAGTTCATTTTGGCAGTCTGATTGGTGGTATCTCCAAGACTTTCAACTTGGAGGTTTTTGCCTATTCAGCTACTACAACTGGGTACTACAACCTTGGTATCCATTTTTCCAAATTAGTCTTTACAATAGGGCCATTAAAAATTCAGCTACCTCTCTATTTGGGTTTTTTTAAATAGACTTCTTGTTATCTAATTTTAACAGATTTACATGACCACAAAGACTTATCTAATGTTTGCACTGCCTGATTTGTTAGTTTGCATTTCTCTGTATAATAACATACTTACACAGATGCCTCATAACTTATCAGTCATACTGGTGTAATCACCATTACAGGTATCCTAACCCAATTATTAGTAACAGTTGCTGTAATACAAATATTATATAGGAGATTATTCAAATTTTCGCTATCGATAGAATTTGAATACCCAACCTACTACTTAGGAGGTTAACAACCTGACCACTTCACTAGATTACCACATTCTTGTTGAATCTTTTTTTAAGAATTTCTTATTCTAAATTTATATTATATTTGAACTTTTTTACAAAATTTTATATTTAATTAATGATTCTAATAAATTATAGAGACAAAATTGTTTTTAGATTAACTTAAACTATTGATCTTGTTTGTAAAAGATTTGAAAGCTTATCTACTAAGCTATAAGACTTAACCCTTTTTTTAAAAATTTTAAATATATATTTTTTAAATCTTTTGCTAAAAGTTTTGTATAACATAAATTTTTAATAATACTGTTAAACTGATAGAAATTTATAAAACATCTTTATTGGAATAAGCAGATAAACTGGATGATAAGATATATAGAAAAACATATGACCAACCAGATTATCAGAACTATTAAAAAAAAAGAATACTAAGATATACTATACCAGGTCATCTAGATTAAAAATCTGAAGAATTCTGTCAGTTCTAAATTGCAATAAATAAAAAATGATAAAAAAGATATTAAGAAGATAGGTATTAGAGTTTAAGTAAACTTTATAAGAGTAAAAATAATGTAATATAGCAGTTAAAGTTTAGTTCTAATTGCAAGTGTTAGGTAACTATAACATATTACATAAAACTAAATTAACTATAAGTAGGATACAGAAAGCTCTAATAGTGATATATATTACATAAAATAAAATATAAAGTTTTAAGACTATAAGTAAGCATCTAGACCTTCTTACTAACATGTATATTGAAAATGATCTAGTGACACAGTAAGAATTGCAATACAGAAAGTTTAAATAAACAATGCCTCTAGTTAGATTGCAGGTATAATAGCTAATATAAAATTATTAGCAAATTACTTAAATTAGACACCAAAAATGTACATATGGCTAGTTGTATTCTTTAATGTAAAGATGACTTCTTTGAAGTCTTGGCTATGAGTATCTATATTCCAATTACTGAATAAAAAACTTCAACCCCAAAAGAGACTAGTTTAATATAAAAAAAACCTAAAAGGTTTGTTTTTTAATTATTAATAATTTAAAGAAAATCTTTTATTAAAGTTTAACAATTTTTTACTATATTCTTTAAGTTTAAAAAATCCAACTCATTTAAAACAATTATATGATTGATTAAAATAATATTTTTAAAAATTAAAGAAAATTTTATTAAACAAACCATTTTCTGCTTTTAAGTAAATTGTAAAAAAAATTTTTTTTTAGTTCTAATAGCATATAGTTAAATTATTAAAATTGGCTTGGGGTTAAAAGTATAAACATAACAGATATAATAGATATAAAGTGTATTTTAGTAGATATTATAGATTTAAATAGAGACCCCAAAGCTCAGTCGCAGCCGCCACAAAAATATAATAATGTCTTATTCTATCTTTATTCGAATTTGATGTCTTATATAAAAAGTAGATATTTCATTATAATTTGGCATATATTGAGCGCGTCATGTAAATAAAATAAAATACTACTAATACTATTTCAAATATTAAGATTGCATGATCAGTCTTTGTTAAATTCTGTTATTTTGTTTTTAACATTCGCCTGTCACTATTATTGTTATATCTTGATAAGCCAAGCCAGATCGTCCAATGATCCATGCAGCCTGACCAGCGACCGACCAAATCGACCTATCAATCGGGTTATAAGCCGGATAAGATACTTACGTACATACTAGATTGAACAAAATATGATCTGATCACCATTATATAGTCATTATAACGATACTAGGTCCCGAAGTTCCATGTTTGTATTAACGTTAACCGTTTAGGGTGAACTTGAAAACTTACTAGACTAATTTGAATAATATATCCATCACTCCAATAAGATAAAAGCCCGCTATGCTCACTATGTTATAACTCAATTAAGTAAATTTTAGTTTTAAAATGCAAAGTGTACAAGAATCATTTTTAGGTTTACGGATGGTAAAGTTATTTATAATTTTTTTTAATAGTTTTAAGTTACAATACAGCAATAAATAAATAAAGCTAAATATAATTATGATTTATACAAAAAAATTTCAATGCATAACCGCAGCGTTAGAGTTGGAGTTTCAACCTCGTAGCCTATCTTCAATATAAGTCACCAAATTAAATGTGATCTTAGTCGTTGAACAAGGTTATACTAACACTAGTTCTAAACATGGTGTTTCAAATAATGTATAAGTTTGTAATTGAATGAGGTTATAATAAAAAATACAATATCGATATGTACATATGTGCATACATAAATACTTATCAAAACTAATATAAATATTGTAAGAGTATCGCTTAAAATAATAAATCGAAAAAAGATTTTTCTACCTTCGCTGAGCCACATAAAACATTCAAATCAAGTAAATCGTACAACGTATCAACCGGCTACAACTACGAATATCAAAACGTAAAGATTTGGCGTTAGCATTAATTGTCAAGCTTTATCTACATCTATACGGTCATATAAGAAAGAGTACGTACTTGTTTTTCATATTTTACGAATCGTTTATATGAATACTAACTTGTATGCTCATGAATTTTATACCATTTTTTTTAGACATTTATTTTCTCTTGATTTCTAATGCACATACATCATGGAAGATATTCATGTCCGAGCTGCAAATATAATTGACGACCTTGGTCAATCAGTAATATTACCGGTACGCGGAATGACTTGTCATTCATGCGTCCACTCCATTACGAGTGCTTTAAAAATTGTTCAAGGCATTAATAGTGTGGTGGTCAGCCTTGAAAATGAGAATGCGACTGTGGAATATGACGAGGAGTTAGTTAAAGAACAAGATATAATACAAGTAATTGAAAATTGTGGATTTGAAGTTCCTATTATATCAAAAGTTAATTTAATATCGCCATTAGTCTCAGAATTTGCGCCATTTACTAATATTACCTTAAAGAATTCACCACATCAGGAGTCTTTTCCACTCAAAACAATAAAAAATCATACTTTCGATCCAGATAAAATACGTGTTTGTCAGATCAATGTACGTGGAATGACTTGCGCATCCTGTGTCAATAATATCGAAAAACATCTTCGCGGAGTTTCTGGAATTGAATCTATTAAAGTTTCCTTACTAGCCGAGCGAGCTGTAGTAGAATATAATACAGATGTTATAAATGATCACAAGATAGCCGAAATAATTAATAGTATTGGATTTGAAGCCTCTCCTATTCAACCAAAACGTGAAGACAGAATTGAAATTCAAATTTTTGGAATGAAAAATTCTTCAAACGTTGAAGAAATTAAACAAGAACTGTTCAAGGTTCCCGGAATATTTAATGTATCTATAGACTTTAATACCACAATTGGTGTGATTCAATTCGATAAGGAACAATTAGGCGTTCGAGATATTGTGGACAAAATTGAAAATATTGGTGATTCTGGCTTTAGTGTCTTGATCTATGACAATAGTCAAAAGACACAATTAGAATCATTGGCTCGTACAAGAGAGATCACTGAATGGCGAAGGGCATTTTACCAGTCTCTTGCCTTTGCTATTCCGGTATTTCTTGTTTCCATGGTTCTTCCAGGATTTGCTTGGGGTTCAGTCTTAGTTGATGTAATGCTACTTCCTGGAATTTACAGTGGTGACCTTATCAGTCTCATATTGACCATACCAGTACAATTTGGTGTCGGTAAACGATTTTACATTACTTCTTATAAAGCTCTTAAACATAAATCCGCAACCATGGATGTCTTGATAGTTTTAGGGACTACTTCAGCCTTTACTTTTTCATGTTTCGCAATGTTTTATGCGTTAATTTTTTATCCACATGATAGGCCGTCATCTGTATTTTTCGATACATCAACCATGTTGATCACATTTGTAACTTTCGGTCGATATTTGGAAAATATGGCCAAAGGGAAAACTTCTATTGCTTTATCAAAACTCATGTCACTTACACCTGCTGTAACAACCATCTTCATCAAAGATCCTAAAACTGCTGATATTATAGAAGAAAAAAAGATTCCTACAGAATTAGTACAAGTGGGAGATTTGGTTAAAATCGTGCCAGGTGACGTAAATAATATTCTAATCGTTTATTACATCCTTACATTACATTGATAATTCATTGTAAATATAATATTTTTAGGTGATAAAATTCCCGCAGATGGCACTGTTATTTCCGGTCAATCAACGGTAGATGAATCAATGGTCACTGGTGAAGCTGATCCGGTAACTAAACGACCGGGAGATTTGGTAATTGGTGGAACTGTTAATGAATTAGGTACTTTTGATATGGAGGTTACACGTGCAGGAAGTGATACTGCATTATCTCAAATAGTGAAGTTGGTAGAAGAAGCACAAACTTCGAAAGCACCAATTCAAGAATTTGCTGACACAGTCGCCGGATATTTTGTACCAGTTGTCATCTGTTTAGGAGGATTAACATTTGTCGGATGGATGGTTCTAACTAGAATAATGTATCCGCTTCCCGAAATCTTTGCTGATGAGAGTTATTTCATGGTTTGTTTAAAACTATGTATTTCTGTTATAGTGGTGGCATGTCCTTGTGCACTAGGTCTTAGTACACCTACGGCCGTAATGGTTGGTACAGGAGTAGGTGCACAAAATGGAATATTAATTAAAAGTGGTGGTGCACTTGAAACGGGTCATAAAGTTACAAAAGTTGTATTTGATAAAACCGGAACTTTGACAAAAGGCCAATTGGACGTTGTTCATTATGAATTAATGATCGAAAATTCAGAATTAACTAAGGAAATATTTTTTGAAATTATTGGAGCAGCTGAATCATCAAGCGAACATCCCCTCGGTCGTTCTATAACTAATCACGGGAAAAAAATTTTATGTATTGAAACATATGGTGCAAATGTTTCGGATTTTCAAAGTTTTTCGGGACTTGGTATAAAATGTACTGTCAGTCTTAAAACAGACCGTACTAATACGAAACAAAAGACTGATTCTACAATCACAGATATAAAAACTTATGATGTATTGATAGGAAATGAACGATTATTGACACAACATAATGGAATTATGCTCCCAGAATCAGCAGTCACACTCAAAGAAACACAAGAACGACTTGGACATACAACTGTTCTAGTAAGCATAGATAAAGAATTGGTAGGGTTAATATTCCTTTCGGATATAATTAAACCAGAATCTAAAATTGCAGTTGGCGCATTAAGACGAATGGGTATAGACGTTATAATGGTAACCGGTGACCAATTATTAACAGCTCAGACCATAGCTTCACAATGTGGAATAACTGAAGTTCACGCAGGAGTTTCACCAAAAGGTAAAACTCAAATAATACAATCAATAAAATGTGAAGGTCGAGGAAATATTGTGGCAATGGTTGGTGATGGAATAAATGATTCACCAGCTTTAGCGGCAGCAGATTTAGGAATTGCATTATGTTCTGGAACTGATATAGCAATCGAAGCAGCAGATATAGTGCTTATGCGACCAGACATGACAGATGTAGTTGCATCTATAGATTTATCACGAACTATATTTAAAAGGATACGGTTAAATTTTCTATGGGCATGTTTATATAATTTATTAGGAATTCCATTTGCCATGGGATTATTTCTACCATGGGGATATCATTTACACCCTATGATGGCAGGTTTCGCCATGGCTTGTTCAAGTGTTAGTGTAGTATGTTCTAGTTTACTGCTTAGATGGTGGACTAAGCCAATTTGGGTTGATGATGGAAAGGGAGGAGTAAGAAGGGTGAAAGATGATAGTGGATTAATTAATACGGTTATTGCAACTTTGAAAACTGGGCCTACTATGCCTCGTGGGGCAGCAACTGGTTACAGACGTTTGGCAGTTGAGGACGAAATGTAAAATATCAAAAACAAAAAATTTATATTTTTTTCTAACACTAGACTCTAATGTTCTTAATAAATATTAAATTTCTTAACAGTTTATGAATTTTTCCAGGTCATTAGAAATATAATTGTAAAAAAAAAAACAATTTTCTTATTTATTGAAGATTTTTTTATGAAATGTCAAAAGAAATTTAATAGTCTTGAATTAAGATTGTTCAGTTATCTATCTATAAAATCAACGAAATAATCATATTTCTCGTTTTTAATTTATTTTCTTTTTTTAACTCACTATAAGTATCTATTGTTTGAAAAAAAGCCTTTTCTATTGTAATTTTTTCTGTTATAATTACTAAGAAAATCTCGCAAATGATGCATCATAATTAAAAAATATATATTGTTATTATTAAAATAATAATTGAATTTCTTTCTAAAAAAAGAAAGACAAAGACTATATACAGTATATATGTTCCCACGAATCTATATAATAAAAAATTGTTCTTTGTAATCTAATTTCAGAAAAAAACCATTTTGATATGATTGTTGTTGAAATTTAATGTCTTTAAAGTTAAGTATGGTAAAGTTCATAGGTTCAGAACCGCTTTATCCGTAACACTTAAATCTTCAAAGATTTGTTATTTAGAACAGCATCGCTAATACTGAATAGTCGCCGACGACGTGTCCAGGTGGTTGGAATCGTCGTTGTTATAACCTTAATCTTTTTTTTTTTTTTTTTACTAACACACTCTTCTTTTTTCAGGTGTGATTCCGTCGTTGAAGTCGTCATCATCTCGTTATTTCTAGGGCATTTTATTACTCAGGCATGAATTTGTCGGTTTTATTGTAGTGTCATTATTTTAGAAGAGCTTAACGACTTAAATTATCAGGTTTAGCTTGAATCGTTAATCATTAAAGGATAAATATAATAGGAAAAATGAGGTGAGTAAGGTGATTTAAAATATGTGGGAAATAGATGATCGTTATGCGAGTAACCTTATTTATTGCTAGAGAATGCAGTTAACGATGGTAAGGTTTATGCAGTGAAAAATAGGAGTTGCTAATATGGGGTGCACGTTAATAGGTTTCTTAAAAGGTATTCTCTTTATTCGATTATCGATCTTGTTAAAAGGTTTATATTATTATTATTAACGAAAAGTCTTTTTATATAGATTTTACTAACGTTAAAGAAAAAATATATATTACGCACACATTAAATCATGTTTTTTAAGATAGTGTAGCATAACGGTCACCAAATATGTTCCATGATCTGCGATTTAATACTATTAATCACATTATCTTTTATATGACAATTTTATAAAAATTTTTTAAAGATTTTTTTTAAAAAAATAAAGTTTATCAAAATTAATTTAAATTCAAAATATTTAATAAATACTATCAAAATTTATAATAAGATCTAATATTACATATAACTATTAATACAATTTATAGCCAAAGAAATAAACTTTACAAGTAATAGATATGCTAATAACTATGAATCAGCTTACCAGTTATCAATCGGCTTTTAACAGTTTCTAAACCGGTTAACTTGACAGTATTATTAAATAATCGGGTTTTCAGAATTTTTTGCTTTTAAAGAATATTTCTACCAATGCTTTAAACAGTTAAACATTTTGGATCGCCTAATCATTACAATATTTAACTATCTTATATGAGCATTGAACTAAAATCTTTACTAATTTAATACGAATTCAACTTGCAAAACATGAAAGCTAAAAAAATAAAATAAATAAAATAAAAATAAAAAATAAATATGGTGACTATAATTTATCTCAATTGACTTGTATACATTCAATAACCAAATCCTAAATTACTATTATATTTGTTTTGTTACACCAATTCAATCTATCGTTATTCTGATAGTTTTATTTAAACAAACCATTATATCGTACTTATAATATGTAAATATATATTTCAAACTTCAAATTTATTTAATTTTTTTGTTATATATGACACAATTTCTTATTGTAAAATTATAAAATAAGCTTATATTTATATCCTTTTTCATGATTTTATAATTGGCACTAATGCTAATAATTTTTTTTTATAAAACTAACATCCACTAATGTCACAGCATGTATATAAAAATAAGATTCATAATTCAGAAATTAAATTTAATGTTAAAATATTTCCAACTAACCATTGATAAATCAGATCCACAGATCACCATGAAGTGTTTCATTATAACTACTAAAAATTATAATAAGCTTGTTAGAAGTTTTTAATTTAAACAATTAATAAAGAAACCTTGTACTTTAAATATTCAATTGATATTGTTAAATTACATACCTAGTACTGCTAAAAACCAATTGTGATTAGAAGTTGGACCAGACAATTCTAATAAAATATCAAACTTAGATTATTAATTACTAAGACATAATGAAGAATATATCGATTATTACATTCCATATTTGCCCAAGTATCTGATTTTGTATTATATAACAGTAACTATAAGATGTTAATAAATAAAACTAAAAGATTAATTATATTAAATGACTTACATTATTCATTGGCATATACAATAAAAATTAGTAGAATTGCCAACTATATATAAAATATTGTCATCAGATAAATTTATTGCATAATAACTTCACTGAGATGAAAATATATTTTGTTGCATTGTTTAAACCCTATATTAATCATTTACAGTATTAAAACTAAGCTTAAAAAGAAAACTAATTCATTAAAAACAATATTAAAAATGACTTAAAAACATTTATTAAAAATAAAAATTATAGTTATTATGTATTTGAAGAACTCTTTTTTCATTTATTGTAACAATTATTATTCCAGTATATCTAAATATGTTGTATATCCCAATTACTACTTTGTTCTTAAATTTTTTCTAACATTTCAATAGCTTTGTCTTCAGGAAAGATATCAAATTTAAGTAATTCTTCAAGAAGTATTTTTTCATTATTATTTGTAACTCTATGTTGGTGTTTAACATCTGTTTGTTCATATAATTTGTCAGTTGTATCATTACTATTTTTAATTTAATCATTTTGTAAAATATTATTTTTTTGTTGGCCTTCTTTTAATTCTTTTTTTAAAGGCACTAATTGTAAAATTAACTTGTGCATTACTACATTGCATTTTTTGTAACCTTTTGTGTTTCTTGGTTCAATTTTGTATACATCTTGTTGCAGAATTTCTTTGAGACAAGCTATTCCAAGGTCATAGCATGTAAATATATCAGAAAATTCTACTGGTGTCATTTCTGAAATATACATAAAAATTTCATAAGTTTTTGCATCTGGCAGAGTAAGTGCAATAAATAATTTGTTTGCAAATTCTATAAAACTTCTTTTCTTGATATTGTGGCTCTTTTTTTTATAAAAGTAATCATATCTCCTATAAATTCAAAAATTAATATTTCTAGCTATTCTCTTTCTGATTGTGCTAAACTAATTTTACATTTCAATTCCTTTACATCTATTATTTTTCTTCTAATATTTTGTTTCACAAACATAACACTAAGATGTTCTAATGCTTCATCAAAAGCAAAAAAATGTTCAGGCCAGGTTAAATTAACAGAGCAAACATATCAAAGTAATTTTTTTTTTTTTTTTTATAGTTAAAGTCCCTATTTTGAAAATGCAATATTTTATTCAAGTTTTGTTAGGAAACAGATGCCTTCAAGGGTTCTCTTACATTGGAGGTTACAACTAGCCACATGTGCACTTTTGGTGTCTAATTTAAATAGTCCACTTATACATTGCTATATAAATTCTACACTAGTTGCCATACCTGCAAGCCAACTAGAAGTCTTGCTTATTTAAACTCTCTGCATATGCAATCCTTCTTGTATCATGAGAACATCTCAAGGCTACACCCATTCAAGTTCTTAATGCTTATTTTTATCCTTAGGACTACTTTATCCTTGATAAGAAACTTACTAGAGTCTTTATATCTCACACATATAGACCTAGTTTTATGCAACACATTATAGTTACCTAATATTTGCAGTTATAGAAATTATCTGTTTAATCACTATGTTATACTATTTCTACTCTTATAAAGTTTACTAGAACCCCAGTACCTATCTTTCTGACATTTTCTTCATTGTTCCCTACTAGTTACAATTTAGAATCGTTGGTCTTATTTCAGACTACCAATTCAGATAACCCAGTATAGTATACTTATATATTCTTTTCCTTTGATAAATCTAGCAGCCTGGTTGGTTATGTGCTTCTCTACATATATTTAATATTTGGTTTTAATTTTTGGCTTCTATAAAGGTATTTCATAGGCTTCAACTGGTTCAATGATACTGTCAAAAGTTCATGCTACCTCTTTACTTGAAGATTTCTAAGTGGGTTTCTGTCACCTCAGTTCCTTAGTCTTCTATGCATAATGGTCTTATTGTGGATTTGTACTGAAGTCTTATGCAATACTAGTAAACATTCCTCTACATATATGTAATGTTATACTTCACATAGATGCCTAAGCTCCCAATGTCAGAGGGAGCCAACTTAGTGTACCTAGGTAACAACTATATGAGACCAACTGATTGACAAGAGACAGTTATCATAATATAGATATAATTTCCAAATTTCATCATAGGTGGGATTTGAACCTTAGACTTGCCACTTGGAGAATGACAACCCAATTACTACACTAGGAATGCCATCCTATTGAAGTAATTCTTTGAGATGTGGATCTTCATTAATATATAATAAAAAATGAGCTACTGAATTAGAATAATTAATTTTGTCAGCAACAAGAAAAAGAGAAGCAAATGCTGCAAGATTCTTTATTTGCATTTTATAATTTCCCTAACAAATATCAATTTTATGCCCAACCCAATAACTGATCTAACAAAAATAACAATAATAAACTCTAAGAGTATTATTCTTACTACTTTCTATATTATTCATTTTTATATTATTGCTATACAAATATTTACAAATTGTGATACTAATAGCAATCCAGATTAATTCTAAAACTTTACAAGTAGCTAAATAGTCTATAACACTTTTAAGCTTATCTAAAAATTGAACTCCAAGCTTTGAAGCCATATTGGCAATACTGTAACCTAAAAAAATATTTATTAATATAACACACATATTCTTTGAAATATGCTATTGACCTAATAAAAGTCTTGCATCTCTATTTTTTATCTTATATAAAATTAATTTACAAAAGATCACCTAATCGCAAACTATATTCAAACATCCAGTGTTGCATATTCCTACATCATCATAGAACAAATCACATGCTTTATACATGTTTTTATCACAGTTTAGATTTTCTTTAAGACTAAGTATTACAACTTTGAAAGATGGCACTTGACATCCAATTGGAACATTTTTAACAATTTTATTTAAAATGCTATTTACATCCCAATTCTTAGTATCTAACAGTAAAAAATTTTGAAATGTTGTTTCATAAACCTCAAGAAGATTATTTGTAAAAACTGAAGTTCCAAAAAGTAATTGATTGATTTCATGAGAATCATTAAGATTTACATGATTCTGGCAATGCAATTGTATAGGCATTGTGAATTGAAAAACCATATACAATGTAGCATGTACTGTTTTTCACATTGTATCATAAATATTTCCATATGCAAAAGTCCTTTCTACAAAGTCAATATTATTGATTACTAAAACATTCTATATATAATTACTACATAGCAACTTTGTTGAATTTTTTCTAGGACTCTCTCATGTTGTTGTGTGTGTAATACTACATTAGCTATACAAAGTATATTATATAAAGAATAAAATAATTTAGGTTTTCTGCATAAGAAGCTCATTATATAGGTTAACCATATATTAACTCCTAAAAATGCAATATTTAATATTATTGAAATAAGAAATACTAATATTCTTATTATGTGATCCTTATTAAATGCTTTTAATAGCAAGTTTTTTTGTTTTCTTTTTTTATTAGTATATTATATTTTTTTTGTTGTAAAGTTTCTATAAATTTATTAAAAAAATTTGCTATATATAATAGGAACCTATTTTGATATTCTGCTAAAGACTTTGAAATTTCAAATTTTACTTTTTTATTCTATACTTTATGTTGTGCCTTTTATGTTATGATTTTTAATACTCTTTCTAAATCTAAAGCTGTTTCAGGTGTAATATTATACTTTTGATCCATAATATTTGTTATGCTAATATGACTCAATCTTAAAACCATTTTAATAAACAAAAGACTAGGTAAATTTGTGATTGCTAAAAATAATTTTGTATCAAAAAACATTGACAGAACAGAAATTAAATATGTTAAAAGAGTTTTTTTTTGTTTTTATCATTAGTCTTTGCTATGCATAAAATCCAGTGATCTAATATTTGAAGTTCATCACTTGTATTATTTTTGTGAAAATCTTTACATTCAAATGCTAGATATCCATGACCTTGCTATTTATAAAAATGTTCTTCTTCTTTAACAAAGCATTCTGAACATATATATCTGGGTCAATATTCAGTTCCTTAATTATTTACAACATTCTCTGATTCTTTTTCATGAAATATAGGGCAAACCTTGAGTCCAATACAAGGTATCTGTACATTTTTTCCAAAAACATATCATGAATGTTGTATGCAAGTTCTATCTCTACTAAAAAAATATTTGTATTTGCTACAAAATAGACATTGTCAACAAAATATCCAACTTTTACTGATAGGTCTTGTCTGTTTAGTATATGGTTAATGAAGCTGATTTTGGTCAAATAAAAAATATGCTTGACAAACTTCCATTATTAATAATTGGTTTATTGCCTGAGTTTTCTTAAAAATCTCAAAATCTATTTTCTATGATTCAATGAGTTAAGAAAATGATCTTTGTGTTTTTTGTAAATAACTTTTGCAGCATCTAATGCTATCATCAATAAAGTCCAAAAGTGGGCAGACTGACAATCACTAACTAATATTACTAACAATAGTATCTTGAATAAGATACTTATTTTTATCATTCAACTCAAATTCTGAATCAAGTGCTGCTATGTTATTACTATTTATGTCAATATTGGTATCATTATTTTCTCTTAAAATATTAATATCCTCTTCTTCTTCTGCTTCTGCAAACTCATATGCTTTATTAAAGCTAATATTGTCAAAGGAAAGTGGCTTCAATTCTACATCAAAGTCAAGTATATCTGTCATAATACTTTCTGTCATAGCACCTTCTGACTCAATATTTAGACTTGTAGCTTTGATATTTTCATAATCCTCTAGAATATATTCAAAGTTATTAAGAACTGATATATCATTATTGTAAATATTAAATTACTTTATATTCATTTTTTTTTAAAAAAAGAAAAAATTTTTTTAATAAAATACATATGTTACTATGGCTATTGTTATATAAACTATTACTGACTACTATTGCTATTGTTAATATTAATTACTATATTAATATAAACTACCACTTAGACTACAAATAAAATTTACTATCACTATTGTAAAAAAAAATAAATCCTTTTTTTTTAAAAAAAAAGATGTACTTTTTTTCTAAAAAAAAAAAAGCAACTTTGACTTAAGATTTTTTTAGAATAAGAAACAATATAAACTATAATATAATATAGTTTGCAAAAGAAAGATATAAAATACTTTTTTATTTAATAAAATATAATAACATGTCTTATATTATAAAGATACTAATATAAAAACAAAGTTTGCTTTTACAGTTATTTTCTATAGAAATTGAATGAAAAATTGAGTGCAGATCCTCTATTTAATATACTTGTCTGCAAATTAAGAGACAAATTTAAAATTATCATTATTGAATTTATTTCTTAGGAGTCTGATTCAAGTGGATTGAACTGATAAACCTAAACTATATCTCTGATAAATAAATTCAGTTCAAAATATAAACTACTTTAAATTAAGTTTCTTTTAAAGCTATAAGTATTATAATATAAAAAATAGAAACAGTGATAAAAAAAGAAAAAATTCTAATTAGCTTAACAAGAAATAGTAAAGTACCTTGTTTTATAATGATGTTAACATAGAAGTAAAAATTGCTTTTTGTAATAATTTTCTAATGTCAATTATAAAAAATTAAATATATAAACTGATGTTGATCTCTTAATTAATACACTTGCTTATAAATTAAGTGACATATTTGTTGATTGATAATAAAAATAATTACATTAATATTATTATGCAAAATGTATTACTAATAAAAAGTGTATGACCATTACTAATACTAAGAATCAGAAACTGATATAACAATAAGTCTGAAGTATAAATAAATAAATCTGTTTGTTGTTCAAAAATAGTTTTGCAATCATACATCACACATGCAGACAGACAAAAAATTTTCAAATTATAATATTGGTATGTTTGATTAAGATAATTATACTAATGCATCAAAAAATAAGTTTTCATAACTTTGTATCACTTAATAAATCAATATTGATATGGGTTCAATATGATCTTCTGTGCTAATACAAAGGATTTATATATTTATGCATCTAGCTAATCATTAATGCAGAAGCGAACAGACAGACAATAACATATGACATTGTTAATTACTAAGAGTCATAAAAACATAGTGTTCTCCATTTTGCTCCAGACAAATCATCTTATTTAGATTTTTATATTCATGTTGGTAGTAATATGTATTCATAAGAGATTATATTAAAGTTGACATTAGAGTTGTGTTACAAAAATTACAACCTTGCATTACTTGTAATTTTATATAAGTTTCAGTAAATCAAATTTTATGTAAGTTTGATTATATGATATAAAGTATCAGAATTATATAAATTTGGCTTAGTTTTATTTATTAGATTTATTTTAATATTATTATATTTAAATATAAATCAGATAATAAATTGCTAACTGTATGTTTATTTAAATCAATTCAATTATATTATTTGAAGATTTTGCAAATATATTAAATTTGTTTTGCAACTACTTTTGTTCTGTAAAAAATTAGACAGTTAGCAAAGTAAGCAAAAAATTCTAAATGATGAACAAAATAAAGAACAAAGAAGATTGAATAATACAGTAGCAATAAAAAACAATGATTTTGGAAAATATAATAAAAATCAAAAAAAAAAATTTTTTTTTAAATAACAATTGAGTAAGCAAATTTATTATACTTATTAACATCTAACATATTAAGAAGATTGTTAGAAAAATTATAAGATTATCTTCTTTTAGCATATTATTATTTGAATTATTTAGTTTTTGATTATCTAAATTATTAATATTAATATTATAAGTTTCATTATTTTGTAAATCTATAATTAAAATAGGTCTTGTTAATTAATAAAGAATTTGAGTATTTCAATATATATAAACAAGTTTTTCTGCTTTTTTAGAAAGCAGTCTGTTATATAATTTGAAATAAATAAACCTATAAGCAGACCAATTGCACTTACTAGATATTAAAGCTACTAGAATAGATAAAATTTTTTGTATAACTTAACCTAAAATTGGATACTGTATGTTTATTAAGTTCTACCAATTAAGCAGTTTTAAGGTAAAATTATTTCATAAATAAGTTTTTGCAAAACCCTCTGATTTTCTAAAATATTTAGCTAATTTATTTAATACTTGATCTTTATTATCATTATTAATATTACCAATTTGAATTACTTTCTTATTAATAATATCTTCTCATATTCAAAATCAAGATCTTTATCTCAATATTATAGATCAAGTATATATGCAACAACAACTATAAGATTATATAAAATATTATGCCATCTAGATCTAGCATTTTTAAATTCTTGTAAATTTTTATATATCAAAGAAAGATATAGCTCATTATTTTCTAAACAGTGTATAAAATTAATGAAAGGTTTTAAAAAATTCTATAACTTTTTAAAATTAACCAAAATTTATAATTCAAAATTGTATCTTTAATATTATTATTATTTTAATATTTTCTTTAGTTAATACTGCATATATTGCAGATCAAACTTAAAAATATGATCAAAACACTCAAAAACTGATGTTCATCTTGTATCAACAATTATAACAAGTACAATTTTGGTATTATAAATTTCCTTTTGCAGACAATATAGAACAGCCAATGAAATCAGATAGTTATAAAAAAACAAAACTAATTTTTTAGTTTTTTTAAAACATTTGCAGCTCATTTATTTTTGAGAATGTCTTTAACTCAAAAATTGATGCCATGTATCTAATATCCAATAAAAACTTTATCTAAATATTTAGCTTTTAAAATGTTTCAAGATGCCTTTATATTTTTTGCATTATCTGTAATAATACTAACATATTTGTTAATTTTAATTTCTTATATCACTTTATCAATTCTATTAGCAATGTTTTTAGCTATATAATATTTTTTATATATGTAAATTGATTTATAGAAAATTAGTACAGATGTAGTAATCATATAATTTATTACAGATAATTCGTTAATATTTGTCCAACTATTACTAACTAAACAATAATAAGGTGATTTATTAAGAACATTTTGAATAACTACTTGTAAATTAGCATGTTCTTTATTAAAAAGAGAACAAAAAAGAGTAAAAGTAATGAGATATTAAAAGTAGGACAAGCTTTTTTAAGAAAGATGCAGAAATCAGAATTTTTGATTATATTAAATAGAATTTCTAAAGTAAAAAAGGCACAGACAAGTAAAGATCCTAATTTACTCTAATTATAATTTGATATTGATTGTTTTTATTTATTATTAACATTTAAAGTTTTAGTTATTGTTGAGTTTCACAAAGGATATATATCTAAATGCTTCTATAATCTTGTTGCATTTTTTGCTGCTTTTTTATCACATGCTTTGCATTTGCAATATTTTTTTTTCTTTTCATCTATCAGCATAGTATATTGATTTTACATTTCAATTTTCTTTTTTTAACTATTTTTAGTTATTATTATAAAATTTTTTATTTCAATTTTATTTTATTTTATATTATATAAATGAATAATTACATATTCGATATTGTGTGATCAAAATTATAACAAAATTTAATAATTAGCAAATAAAAAATTTAGTAAACTTTATATATTATATTAAAATTACATTTTTATGTAAATTCGATTTACTAAATCTTATAAAAAATTACACAAAATTATGTAAAAATACAGTAATTTTATAACTCTAGTTAATATATATAAGAGAATTTTAATTTTAATATATAGACATTAATTTTATTGTTTAGATTAATATATATTGTTACAAATTTGGCTAATGCTAACATTTATATGACATGTAATAAGAAAATTTTGTTGTTATATATAGAGTTTATTTATATTAGAATTAGAGTTTAAATTATATTAAAAGTTATATTAAGGTTAAAGGTTAGTAAGCTATATAATAATATTACAAAAAAAAACTTTATCAAAAATGGAGTATGAAATATGTAGTGTATAGTTTACAAACAAGTTAATATACATATGTGATTCTTAGCATATGATTGGATAATCTGTCATCATAACTTTGTATAGCATTTTGAACAATATTTTAAAAGATAGATATTAGGAACAAATGGCTTTGTATGCAAAATCTTAGAATTGATTAGTTCACATAACTTATTTATTAATTAATATTTTTTAAAAAAATATAAATAAACATATACATCTGTAAAATCAAAGATGCTATAATAAAAAATAGTAAAAATAAGTTTTTTAAACATAAAAATTAGCATCCTAATATAAATTTAAAGGCCTCAATGCTAAATATTTGGTAATTTTATTTTTTTTTATCAAATTTTTTATTGGGTTGATAAAATGATAATCATTAATTATCAAAAACTTAATTAAAAGAATTTGTCAATTATTTCTAAATACAGATATGTTTTGTAGATTTTTAATATTTTTTGCAGGGCCTTAGAATTTTAAGTCAGATTTATCAGACTGAGTAATAACTTTATTAATAGGTTTTTAAACTCAGTCACTGAAATTCAAACCAATATTTAGATTGCAAATACTATTATCTTCTTTTATAAAGAGTCATTTTCTTATATCAGGAATAGATTGTAATGAAGAATATAGTTTCCAGTAACTAAAATAATGTTTGTATAGATTTCTTCTATTTCTGGTTTCATGCAACAACTTTGTGCAACTACTTATTTGCTAATATATAAAAGGTTATTTCTTTACAAATTTTTGATTTTTTAAAATTAATATTTGTTTTGAATTTTCTAATCATGATTTATTGTTGGCTAATTATTATATAA